TAGACAATGAGACGGCAACCGAGTGAAATACATGTATACATGTGCCTCAGCAATGCACATACCCATTACTTGATCTGCATTATCAAGTGTTACCTGGCAGTGCAAAGTGAAGCCTGCTGGGTGCATCCATGTTTGTTCACAGACCTATGGAAAACTCAATATCTGGTATAGCTTTTGTACGAGCCCCAAGTGCGGCCAAAAGAGGGCGCAATTTTCCTAGTAACAGAGGCCCCTTTGGTAGGAACTACACTTCACTGGTTCACTAACGAATATGAAATGCGTGTGCTGCAGTCGCGTCGCTACCAACAAAAATGAACACTCCCGACCAGCTTGGCTCTTCTTCAACTGATGAGGGGGTGCTTCCGCTCAAGGCAAATAGGTATTTGCATACATGGTGTATATCAACATCTGTAGTCACAAATGATGGGTCAACAACAAAGCCGTCCAAATGCAGGATCAGTAAATGAGCATTTCATGTGGTTCTGTGTGAACCAAAGGTGAAACTACGGCTTATTAAATGTCATACTGACAGGGAATGCACTTGTGTTTGTTTGTGTATTTTGTACTTGGGCGTATCTAACATGATGTTTTCTCTACTTCAAATTGCCTCCAAGAATGAAAATTCAGATTTGTTCTATGCTGTGCCTTGGTCCTACGGAACGCTGGGATTGCTTGTGGCAGCCGAGCTGCGAATCGTGCCTGCTAAGAAGTATGTGAAGATCGAGTACCGGCCAGCCCACTCCATGAGCGAAGTCATCAAAGCGTTCTCCGAGGAAACCATGAAAAAATCCAACAACGAATTTGTGGAAGCACTGATGTACAGTAAGGAGGCAGGGGTCGTCATGACGGCGAATATGACCGATGATGCAGAGGAAAGTAAGGTAAACATGTGGTGACATCAGTTATGACTGGAAACAAAACGATTACAAAGAAAAGCTGTCAAGCGTACTTACAGTATTTGTGTCCTTGAGCAGGGTTGCTTACCTCCATTGCTCTTCCCGGACCTTGTTTATAACAAATGGCAATTTTCAAGTTCAAAATTTCTGTGTATTAAATGCAGAAAGGTTTACTACATATTTTTGCAAGTTATTAAATGTTGAAAGAGCGCTTGTACTTTGGAAATTATCCCAATCATTTTCACTGATCGAGCTAAGTTAAGTTTTCTTCATAAAACTATTGTTAGTTCCTATTTCAGGCATTATTTGTCCTTTGCAACCATAAAGAGCCCTCAAGAGGGCGTCTTGTTTCTGGTATATTAGGTTTTGACCTTTGACTTTAATCATGCACTTCTTTTCTATCCAAGGTCAATTGCATCGGGCATTTCTGGAAGCCCTGGTTCTTCAAGCACGTCCAGGCCTACCTGAAGTCGGGGCCGGGCATCGAGTACATCCCACTGCGCCACTACTACCACCGGCACACTCGGAGTATCTTCTGGGAGCTTCAGGTGGGTTTAGGAACAATCCAGCCTCACCTCGGTTCGATGCCTCACTAGAACTCGGCCCGCCATGACGTTGCAGTGCAGTTTACAAATTCCTAGTTCCACCTGCACGCATGCCAATTGTTGGTTCAGTGCAGGAGGGACAGGAAGTATTTCTGTTGGTTACATCGCTTCTTGTTCTGAAGAACAGCAGAATAGGTGTATAGAATTGTGATCGATGGTTGATACTTTGCTTACATCGTCTGGTTTCAGGACATCGTCCCATTCGGCAACAACCCGCTGTTCCGCTACCTGTGCGGCTGGATGGTGCCACCTAAGGTGTCGCTGCTGAAGCTGACCCAGGGAGAGACCATACGCAGAATGTATGAGAGAAACCACGTGGTGCAGGACATGTTGGTACCCCTCCGTAAGCTCCGCGAGTCCCTGGATTGTTTTGACAAAGAGCTGAACGTTAGTAGAAATTTCTGTCAGTTTTTCCCATTAAAATCCCTGCTCTCCTCTTCTGAATGATCTAGTTAAACTTGAATCAGTAGATGTCAGTTTCGTATGTATGTTATAGGCCTGTGCGGGGTACCCGGGTACCTGCCCATCGATATCAAAGCCCATTTCCCTATCTTTTTGGGTCTGGCACCCGTAAAAAAATGTCCACACATAAAACGTATGTGAACTTTAATAGTGGAGGGCAGAGTTGCTGAAAAACCATTGTGTCGCTGAAAAACCCGGTCCCGCGGTCGTAACTCAAGTACAGAGATCAACGGAGCTACTGTTGTAACAATTTAAATGTACATGTAACATTTCATTTATGAAAAAGGTGGGGGAATTCCTCTCTAACGTTTAGAACAATGCACTGCTTCCCACTGGAATTGGGCGCAATGCCATTTTTTAATTTTTTTTTTTAATTTTAAGGGTACCCGGTTCTAAAAATACCCACAAACGCACACCCCTAGTGTGTCATGTACACTTAATTCAAAATATGTTACTGCACTTTGCACCATTCCCCCGAAAACCTAAATTGTATTCAAAACAATACAAAAATGACTTGAATAGAGGAATATAGAAATGATAAATGCCTCACGGTCCACCAATCAACTTATGGAAAAACCCTGATTTTACCATCAAAATTTTTTTTATTCCTAAAAGTTGATATAAAACACAAGAAATGAGTGCCTTTTAAGGCAAGCCGTTAGGCAAACACGAAATACATACGACAGACGCTGTGTGGCCCTCAAACCCTCTGGAGACTATTTCATGGTTATTTCATATTCCTTCAATCTCAACCCGCTATCAACAGCTCTACCCCTTGTGGCTGTGCCCCTTCCTGTTGCCTTCCCAACCGGGGCTTGTCCACCCCGAGGGGAATGAGGACGAGATGTACGTCGACCTGGGAGCCTACGGGACACCCAAGAGAAAAGGGTTCCACTTTGTCGAGACAACCAGACGGGTTGAGGAGTTCGTGCGGAGTGTCCACGGGTGGGTGTTCTTACCTTAAGCCGATACCTTATGAAGTGAAACTGCACAGGGTCAAGTAGACCGTGAATCTACTCACTGCCCTAAGCCAAAAGAAAAGAGTCACAGTTCCCGTTTCCTCTAATTTGGAGCTTGCCCAAGGGCCCCAAAATGTTTTGGATTCTAGATGCTGTGTTCAGGTGTGAAGGTAATTTTTGGTATGCCGCCGATGTACTGTCAATCATTAACAGCCAGTGCAATAATTTTTTACTCACCAGAAACAGACATGATAGGAATTGCTTCTTGTTTTGTTTCATTTATTAATTTGAGAAATTGTACGGCGTGATTATGAGTGTATTAAACCTGAAATGTGTGAGTCTCACACCGAGTGGTCGAGAGTTTTTTGTGCTTAATGCTTGAGAGTTAGCAGCCAACTGTGTCATTGTCTTACCCAATGGTGAACCTGGCCGTCTTTGCCCAACTGTTGTTACTTGCAGATTCCAAATGCTGTACGCTGACACTCACATGACTCGGGAGGAGTTCCGCCAGATGTTTGATCACACGTTGTACGACAAACTGAGACACAGGCTGGGCTGTGAGAAAGCCTTCCCTGAAATCTACGACAAGATCAGCAAAGCTGCACGCATCTGATTATTCAGGAATATTTCCCATTTTACATAACATTACAGCCTTAACCACTTCCTACTGGGGGCAGTTATCAATGTCAATGATGCTGACGCGGGATATTTATCATTTTCTCTGTTTTCAAAATTCTTTAAAAATTCCTATCTTCATTTACTAGACACTTACACCCACACAAAGAACTGTCTGGTTTCAACTATAGCCTGACAGACAAAATCTATTAACGCCCGAATATTTCAGCCAGGCCTGCAGCATTGCAAAAAGGCCCCAGATTGTGCGGTGTTATCTAACTTTCTTTTGTTCTCGAACCTGCCACAGTGCGCTGTTGACCTCTTTTCAATAGGGGCATTAGCATACAGCGGTGCTGTGTGGCTCGTCGCTGCGGTGGTGGAGCGCTTTTGTCCTCGGTGGTAATCTGCTCGCTCTAAATGCCCCAAACCGTGGTATACTGTTTCAAAACAAGGCTGGATTATCTCCACTTTTGACAGTGAAAAATGTCGGTAATGCCCAGCAGCCTGGTCTTTTGTTCGGAGTACAGTCTTCTGTTATAGGGACCAGTTCCCTTTGTCCGATTTCGGAGACCCCGGCCACGCATATAAAGCATACATCTCCGGATCTGGAATCCCCGGCAGGAAGTGGTTAAGACTTGTTATTGTCAGACTGTTAGAAGGAGATGCTGAATATGTTACTTGTGCTGAATTTATCTTTACATATAATTTATATCAACATAATCAGAAAAAATCAAGTTTGTTTCCAACACCTTGGTTTTTTTTACTGTAACATTACTCCTTGGAAGTACTTTGGAGACAATTTCAAATTTAAGTTTAAGAAAAAGTGCAAATTTTTGGGACCAGTGAATTGCTGTTGATTGTACGTTTATTGAAGGATGCCATTTTTTGGGCCATTACTACCATAGTCTTCAATTTAAACATATGTAAGAGTTCTTCAAAGTCAGGGAATGTTACCAGAGTATCCAATCAGACTATTGATGCCAAAGCTGAAATGCAGTATATATTCAGTATTAAGTTGAAGAAAGAAATTATCCCCAGCAGTAGGAACTAGTCAGCTAACCACTGTGTTGTGTTACATGGACGTCACAAGGGGGCCAAGTGGGGTGCTTGTCGACCCCTCCCCACCCAAAAAATAATAAAAAGTGTATAAAAAAAAACAAAAAGAAAGGTGATTCAAATTAACGATTTGCTTGAAACCACCTTGGAGATTATCCTTTTCTACCATTGAGGGTTTGTCAGTTTGCTGCTGATGAGAGACTCCCGCGGAATACATTGCGACGCCGATGGCATGGTTTTGTCATCAGAAGCTGTTTTAATGAGCTGCATGACCAACCCTGCAGGTATTCCCAATTGGAATGGCAAGCATGGGAGCAGCTTGGATTTCTGTTCAGCAAAACCAATGGGGGGCCAACCTGTGAATGAAAGCTCACCTTAAGCTCAGATTGCAGGTTGTAGATAGTTCCCTGTGCACTTTGCCAGTGTTTTAAGATTTTATGTTACGTCAAGTTGATCATGTCTAACCAATCCATTGAAAGTATTAGAAAATCCTGTCAAACAACCTGCAGATTTGACAAGCAGGTTGCAGTTGCATGTGAAAGAGTAGATTTTTGCCTGTGTGGTGATCGGGTAATTTTTTTCTAACTTGGAAGAATATACATGTAAGCACCCGATGTTTGTTCTTAGGTCATATTTGTTATGTGCAACAATTTATAAAGGCCCCAATTCTTGAGTTTTTAATTCTTTTTATGTACATGTACGTAAAAGTAAATTCTTAAATTCTGTATTATTTATCTTATGCTGTAGCAAAGCAACGTCCATTCAAATTGATGACAACAATACATTTTACACTGATTAAAAATAACTTTGTTGATACAATAGACAAGAATTATG